GTCTACATAATGAGTTCCAGGACAGCTGGGACTACAGGGAGATCCTGTCTCAAAAAGACAAAAAAAGAAAAAAAAAGAAAAAAAAAAAGAAACACGTGTCTGGGGCCTTTGAGATGACTCAGCAGGTAAAGGCTATAGTCCAGCAAACTTGAGTACCCAATTTTGGTCCCCAGAACTCAACATGGAAGAGAAAACTGACTCCTCCAAGTTGTCCTCTGACTTCCACACATGTACTGTAGCACATGCATACCTGCACTCACACATCATACATTTATACACACACTTAGAAGTCCTTATAACTGTTATAGCCACTTGATTCCCCAAGTGAAAGAATAAGGTTTGGGTTGCATTCTGATTAAACTGTGCTAGGTGCCTTCGTGCTCTCTAGGATTTTCCTTTGGTCTGGTGTTCATCTGTGCAGGTCCTTTCTTTGTTAAATTGGAAAAAAAAAAAAATGTATGCCCCTGGCTTCTGATAGGCTCTAGGGTCCCTTCTTAGCATAAATTTCTCAGCTTTGTTGATAAAAGATGTTTGTGTTTTGAGCATGGACCTGCTTTGTCTGCCTGGACATTTAATTCACAGCCTAATTGTTTCATTGCTATTACTGAATATGCCTGCCTGATCTTTTGTTTCTTGAATTCCTAGTATAGTCAATGCTTTCTGCACAAATTTAGTAGTAAACTACATTGTATGATAGTATAGGGAGTGTGACCTTTAGAATCGACAGTTCAGGTCCATTTCTTGAGCATCATCTAAAACATGAAACCTTTTAATTTTTTAAGCTTATTTTATTTATTTTGCATGTATACATGTGCTGTCATTCATGTTGAGGTCAAAGGACAACTTGCAGGAGTTGGTAAACTTCCACCATGTGGATCCCAGGGATAAAACTCAGGTCATTAGCTTTGGCACCAGACACCTTTACCCACTGAACCATTTCCTTTGCTTCACTTCCACCCCACTCTTAGAGGAAACATTTTTGAATATCATCTGAAAGCAATTATAACAGCTCTTCCTTAATGTAATTTTTAAAAGTAATGAAGGTACGCTGTTGCGTCAACGCACGCTAGATAGGCAAGTAATGGGCCCCCTTTCCTCTCCTCCTCAGGCTTCTCTTTCTAATCATGCCCACGATACTGGCTGTATTCCTAACGTCTGTACTCTAATTTTTAAAATAAATTATGGCAAGTTGAATAAAGACCATGGTGTTTATGCTTCAAAACAGGGACAGTCTCATGCCTGTTTGGCTTTCTTTTTTAAAAATACAGTGACTAAGTTATTGTTGAAATGACTTAATGTGAGCCATTTGGGGCATTAGACAAATACTAGTTAGGTCTCAACAAAATATACTCTCGAGATTCCTGAATCAACTTTTTTAATCCCCTTTCTCTGTTTTAAAATGTGCGTGGGATGGGAGTATGTGAAATAAATGTAACTACATATTTATGAATCATGCAGTATTAATTTTAGAATTTTTAAGTTGAAATATTTGAATTCCTCTCTTAGTTCATTGATTTGTATAGCTTCAAAGATTACTATTTCCTTTCTAATTCCTCATTTTGCATTCACAAGGAGAATTTTTAGGTTGGTACATAAATAATAATTGAGGATCTTGGTTTTTTTTTAAGAGAATTTCTTTGGAGAAGGAATTCCTATCTAAATAGCTTAAGCTGTTTCTCCCATTCTCTTAACATTATTTAGGAAAGTTTCCAACTTTTTGTACTTCAGAGTGTCTGGTCCTTATATTGATTACATCTGGCATGCTGTGCCTTTTCTAAAAGTACTGCCATTGGGTCCCTAGTTTTGGAAAGCTGTGTAATTGTGAATTGTTAGAATGTGCTGCCAGATAGGCTAGTTACCCTGAGAAGAAAGACGAGCGTAGTATCATCAGGTCACTGTGGAAGGGCGAGAGCACATCTGTGTTTGAGATACTGACATTAATTAGAAAAATATGACTCATAAAAGGTTAACAGTGCTCAAAATCCCTGAAAATACACTTGAAAGTTTTTTGGAAGTCCCAGGTGACTGTGCCTATGAGTAAATAAAAACAAGAATTTAAGCTGTACTTTAAAAAGTTTTGAAGTAAGCATGTATAGGGGTCTGTGTGTACTCAGGCATTCCAGGGCCCCCACCCTCTGGTTTTTTAGATGATCACTTTTAGTTGTTGTTGAGTTCTGCCGATCTTGTCAGTGTTCTGCCTCTGCATTCATGCCCTTTTTTTTTTCCTTTTTAATATGATTTATTTTTTCCTGTTGATTTCTGTGATGGTATAGATGTGTAGAAAAGTTCGTGGCTTTTATTTATTTGCCAAATAGACAAATTTTAGTTGCAAAAGTTTGTTGCTCTCTTAGTAGATTGAAAATATCTTTGTAGAACAAGGGAACTGACTCTGAATTTACCTTGTCTGTTAACTATTTTTATTTCTTGTTTTTTAAGCTGTTTTCACTTATGGATATGAAACCTCCCATCTCTAGAGCCAAGATGATTCTCATTACTAAAGCTGCTATTAAGGCAATTAAGGTAAGAATAAAGTATATTTAATTTAGAAATGTTTTTGCATTTTTAGTTGATTACTATTGAGGTAGGATGCATGCCACTGCACACATGTGAAGGCCAGAGGACAGCTTTGTGGCGTGGGTTCTCCTTCCACCTCTGTGTCGGTTTTAGGGGTCGACCTCGGGCCGCTAGGCTTAAGTAGTCTCTTTACCCACTGAGCCATCTCTCCTGCCATGTGTTTGAAACTTTTAAATATTGTTGGAATGTGAGAGTTCATCTTGTGAGTTACTTCACGTGTGAATCAAACAGCACTCACTAGATTTTACTGAAGGGTTATGATAAAATTGTACAGTTATTCACGGGACTGTGACATTCTGTATTTTTCTCTTAAACCAGCTGACTGTTACTTGCTTCTTATATAAAAACAAAGCATGGGCTTGAAGAAATTAACTAATCTTACCCAAGCTCACACCTCAATAACACATTTTAGATACTGTTCTGGTTCCATGTTCTTGTCTCTTGTCTCTATCATGAGGTAGTCTGATACCTTATGAAGAATTTGCTGCTTAAGTAAGAAAGGACCTTCTCATAAAATATAAAAGGGAAAAAAAAGATCCTCTCTTTGGAGGGGATTTTGCTTTGTTATTGTTGTAACAGTGGCTGGTCTAGAACTTGCTGTGTAGACCAGGCTAGCCTTAAACTCAGAGATCCACCTGCCTCTGCCTCCTGGGTACTGAGATTAAAGGCGTGCAGTTCCATACCCAGCTCCTTCCTGATTTCCTATTTGTGATTTTTTTTTTAATTGATTTTGGGGGAAAAATTGATTTTGGTTTATTTCTAATGGTTCATTGAGTTACCTTGCTTGCTAATTTTGTAGATTGTGAAAATTCCAAGGTTAATTATTTGCTTTCTCTAATTATAGGAAATGCAGAAATATATAAACTGGCCATGATTTTCTTTTCTTTCAGCTTTATAAGCATGTAGTTCAGATAGTAGAAAAGTTCATCAAAAAGGTAACTGTTTCATTATTCATTTTATTTATGATGTGTGTTTATATTTGTGCTTTGTGATTTGGATGCTTGCTGCCAAAAGCAACCTACAAATAGTAGTTACAAGATGTCCTTTTAATTAGAAGTTAAAAGAATAGCATTTTCCTAGTGCCACCATTCATTGAATATTGGCTGAAAGTTCAGCACTCAGCTTTTGTGTAGTGCCTGACAAGAGTTGTGTGCCAGGACCCTTCCCCAAGCCTGAAAGACTTAATCTACCCTTTGCCCCATCTACTCTGTTGACATATAATTCCCCTCTGAATATTTCAAATGAAGTTTCTTTGTAGTTTTCCTAACTTTTCTGTTGCCATCAGAATTAAACTTTTTCAGTTGTAGTTAGTTGTGTATTGTTGTATGACATGTGTAATTAGCACATCCTCTCAGTAGACAACTGAGATGGTTTTAGATGTCTGTTTTCTTGGCTGATCTGGCCCTGTGCCATGTGATTTATGGTAGGTGTTTGATTAGAAACTTCTTGTAGAAGCAGATCAAAGTGCAAAGAATAGGGAAAAGTTTATATTGTACACATATCATTCCCTCCAAATTTCTCAGTGCTTACATGTGAATCTAGTCTATGTTAAGAGGAAAATGGACACAGTGCTGGTTGCTGACCTACCTTTTCTGCTGACTATGTTATAACTATCAATGGACTATTCCTTGATTGTTACTGTGATTTACTCAGCCAGTTCTCTGGCTAGATAGGTATTTTCCACCTTTTTTTACTTTTCACATAAAAATGCTTCAGTAGCTAACCTTAATGGAAAAAAATACATGCATCTTGTTTTCCCTAGCATAACTTCTTATATAAAGAATTGGATCAAATAAGGCTTTGCCTTTATTGCTTAATTGTCTTCAGTAAAGGATTGTGCCTTTATCTGCTACCATCAGAAATGTGTGTGTGAGTGCCTGCTTCTCTAGTATTCCTTTTTCCTTTGTTAATTTGATACACTCCAAATGGCTTCTGCTTTTAGTTTTTATTTCTCTGGTACATGTTTTAACAGAAATAAAATTGACTTTTTTTTTTGGTCTTTTTGAGACAGGGTGTCCCTGTGGTCCCAGCCGGCCTGGAACTTGCATTGTAGACCAGGCTGGCCTCGAACTCACAGAGATCTGCCTGCCTCTGTCTCCCGAGTGCTAGGATTAAAGGCGTGTGCTACCGTTCCTAGCTTAGTTTTGGGGAAATAAGAGCTCTCTGTAGCTCAAGCTGGCCTAGAACTCATGCCAATCCCTCTGCCTCGGTCTCCCAAGTGCTGAGCTTGCAGGTGTGAGCCACCACGCCCAGCTGGTTGTCATTCCTCCCTTTTTTCCCTTGAGGTACAGGGTGGGTAAACTTGGCCTGGCCTGGTGATAGCACAGAGCAGAAGAACCCTCCATGAATCAGGAAAACCCAATGCCTAGAGTTACTCAGCACTATGAGGCCATCAGGACCACGGGTCCAAGACCTCCAGCCCAGCATTCCATCAGGTTGGAATGACTGCGGCGCCAACCATCACAGCCCTCCCTTTACTCAGGTCAACAATCACTTCCACCAAGTGGACAGTCTCAGAGTGCCTTCGCATAAAATCAAGCTGGGCCTTTCCTGACTCCTACCCAGAAGGAGTTCTTTGTCCACTGCCCAGTCACCTACTCCCACAAACCCACTCAGCCTCTAAGTGGGAACCCCAGAACAATGTCTCTGTATCCCTCAAGACCACCGAGTGCTAGGATTAAAGGCGTGCGCCACCATGCCTGGCCAAAATTGACATTTTTAAAAGTACTTTTTAGTAATTTTTGAAAGGTAGAAAACCTAAATTAGAGACTTATCCTAATAACTGAGTTTGTGTGGCAGTGGATTGTTAGTGTCTCCTGGAGGAAGAAGTCAAGGATCTGAGAATAATAAACCCTCGGGTGGCTAGTTTCAAAGAATGGTGTTTGTCTATAGACGTGGGAATTTGACAGCCAGTTAAATAGTTTCTAAGCATTAAGTGGATGGATACATAAGGTTGCATGCATGAGATTCATGGATATCAAATTTGATTTTGCTTTTCTTGTACTGACTTTGTATCTTTATTCTTGCAGTGTAAACCAGAATACAAGGTTCCAGGATTATATGTAATTGACTCCATTGTGAGACAGTCTCGTCATCAGTTTGGAACTGATAAAGATGTTTTTGGGCCAAGGTTCTCTAAAAACATAACTGCTACATTCCAATATTTATACCTTTGCCCATCTGAAGATAAGGTATAGTTAATAACTTTTCAGTTAAAAATTTTATATTCTTGGATTTGTTTTTATTTTTATATATATTTAAATTCATGTTATTTGAAATGTGCAGATAATATACAGTGAGCGCTTGAGTTTTAAACAGAACCCAGTTTTTCTGCAATGGTCATTTCCTATTTGCTCCCTTGTAAAATAATAGATTAGCCTGGCCTCTACCTAGGACTTTTGTACTGTTGAATGGCAGAAGGAACCAAATTTATAGATTGAAAGCAAAGTAGTGATTGCTTTGGAAAGTGCAGAATAAGAAATTGCTAATCAGTGACTCTGAAGCTTCCATTAAGGGTAAATGAGGAAGTTCTAGGAATCTGCTGAACTATGTAGTACCTAACAGTTATGTGTACATTTAAGAATTTCTTATGAGGGTATATTTCATTAAATATTCTTACCCCACTTAAAGAAACTGAAAAAGGTTTGTTAAAGAAGCATCATGTTGGGGCTAGAGAGATGTCTCAGCGGTTAAGCGCACTGGCTGCTCTTGTGGAGGACCCGGGTTGAATTCCCAGCACTCACATGGCTGCTAACAACTGTCCATAATTCCAGTTCCAGGGAATCTGACACTCTTCTGACATCTGTGGGCAGTGCATGACAGAGGTGCATTTACGTACATGCAGGCATAACACTCATACACATAAAATAAAAATAATTTTTTTCTCTTTCTTTAAATTTTAGAATATTTTTATTATTCCAGGAGAGGCACTTTTAACACATTTTTCCGGAAATAACTTGAAGTAGGTTACATAAAAATATATATACAATGAAGTTTAAGAGGGAAAAAGGAATAAGAAATCATGTTTTTTTAAGCATTATCTTGCTTTAAAGAAAGTCTTGGGGCTGGAGAGATGGCTCAGCAGTTAAGAACACTGACTGTTCTTGCAGAGGACCCAGGTTTGAGTCCCAGCACCCACATGGTTGCTACAAACCGTCCTTAACTCCAGTTCCAGGGGAATCCTAAGCCCTCTCTGACCTCCACGGTATTGCACAACACGGGTGCACTCACATACATGCAGGCAATACACTCATACACATAAAATAAAAATAATAAAGTGTTTTTAAAAAGAAAAAGTCTTGCTAGCTGATCATGGTGGCACATATCTTTAATGTAAGTAAGCACTTGGGAAGTGGCTGTAGGAAGGTTGCTAGTTCCAGCCAGCCTAGGCTACAAACATGAGCTTATAAAGTTGGTTGATAAGAAAATTCTGTAGTCAAGAAAATACTCATTTCATTTTGTTGCTTATTCCTGAAAGGCTTGATCTTCACCACATAGAGGCATGTAAGTGGCATTTATCTGCCATTCGACTGCATGTGTACGCGTGCTTCTGTTCTCAGCTGGGGGACAGGCACAAGTACCTCCATTTAGGCTGTATACCATGTCCTCTCTTGTCTCCAGGGCCGGAGCCCTGCATGGACTCTGGGTACAATACTGAGAGTAGTGAGAAAGGAGCTTGTTTCCGTTAGAGAGGAGCATTTCGTTGTGGTCACAGGCACTGTGTGTATATTCTTAGAGGCTGTTCTGGAGAGGAAATGTGTGTTTTGTAAAAAGTCCTTGAATCGGAGATAAGATGTATATCCATGAATAACAAAATTTGTCTAGGTTTCCTTCAGATTTACTTGACTACAAAATACCTAATCTCTCAGTTATAGGCCAATTTCTTAAATACTGGGAGGTTTTTGTTTGTTGAGATAAGGTCTCAGACCTTAAACTCAAGATCCTTGCTCTTGAGTGCTAGGATTACAGTATGCACAGCCACACCTGGCACATCTTTTAAGTATTTTAACTGCTGTGATCATCCTGAAGAAACTCTTAACTTCATCTCCTTCTCTAAAAGGCATCTGCCAGTAGTAAAGTATGGTAGCAACACTAAATAGTGCATTTCTTTGTATTCTCCTGGTGATAGTCTCTGTTCTGAATCTCGATTATGCACACTGAAGAAAGGTTAATTAGAACTGTTGTTTAACTGGGTAGTAATTCTGATGGATTTTTTTTCTATGAAACAGATTTTCTCTTTTTGAAATCAGATATATTTTCTGTAAATATTCATTGTATATTCATTTTCTTACATATAACAGAGTAAAATAGTTCGTGTGCTGAATCTTTGGCAAAAAAATGGAGTATTCAAAATTGAAATTATTCAGCCTCTTTTGGACATGGCAGCAGGAACCAGTAATGCTGCTCCAGTAGCAGAAAATGCTACCAATAATGAAGGTACAGTCGTGTGTCTGTGATCTTAGATATGATAGAGATTTTGTACATGAAAAGTTTTCGAGTCTGTCTATATTGGTAGAACTTTTCCATAGGAAGGAAACTTGAGTTTACATCTTAGAAGGTACAGTTTTTCTTTATATAATTCTCACTTCTAATCAAAATATGCTCTTTGGCACTGTAAGTGCCAACCTTAGTAACCATAATCTGTTCATTTTACTGTATTAAACTGAATAGAAGTTTGATTTAACAGAGAAGCTTTAAAGGAGTGTTAAAAGGGAAAATTGTTAATATTTTCTTTACCTTAATGAATGCCCTTTTACTCTTTTAGGCTCACCTCCACCTCCAGGAAAAGTTTCTTCTGAACTCCCACAAGCCACTGCAAATTCCATACCTGCTGTGCCGCAGTTGCCCAGCTCTGATGCTTTTGCTGCTGTGGCTCAGCTGTTTCAGACAACTCAAGGCCAGCAAGTAAGTGACTTAAGGACGAGATGGTTTGCAGAGCTAGATTCTGTTGTCAGTCTTATCTCCCATTCCTCCTTCATAAGCACCTGGAAGGGAGAAAACGTCTCTACTTTTCAACTAAAATAGTCTTCCCTAGGGAGGAAATGACTGGGTTGATAAGGAAAATGTGAATGTGAAACATAGAGCTGTTGGAGTGGCAAGTGTTGTTGCTCACACACAATTCTAGCATTTCTGACTGATGCAAAATTATATGGCGTGTATTTTTCTGTATTTCTAGAAACCTTACTGTTAACACAATTCCATGTGATTTCTCTTCTCTTTGAGCCTCATTTTGTATCTCTGGATTGTCAGCATACATTTTTACTTTAAACATTGCACACTATATGGAATATATTCATTCACAGTAAATTAACTTTTGATGGTTATACATTGTGTGTGGTTTATCAGTTTTCCCATTCTTTAAGCTTCAGCAGATCCTTCAGACCTTTCAACAACCTCCAAAACCACAGTCTCCCGCCCTTGACAATGCTGTGATGGCTCAGGTTCAGGCTATCACAGCTCAGTTAAAGACAGCTCCTACACAACCACCTGAACAAAAAGCTGCTTTCCCCCCACCTGAGCAAAAAACTGCATTTGACAAGGTACGCTTCTCACATCACCCACCCCACTGTCTCTTACTCAGCTTGGATTGTGGGCCTTCTCTTTTCTGTGGCTTCTTGTGGATTATTGGTTTTATTTGTGATTTGATGGGTTTTTCTCAACATCAAAATGTTTATTTTTTTTTTCCTGGCTATAAGTATAATACAGGGTGACTGTAAAAGCTTTATGGAATAAAGTGATGACAAGGAAGTCCTTCATTAGCACTACCCTACCTGTACTTGGAAATGACTTCTGAGGCACTTTGCTGTATTTTAGTCCAGAATTAATCTACTGTGGATATATGCTTTCATTTTGATCTTAATACTCTTCTTTCTTTACTGTTAGGTCTGTTGGTATTCTAATACTTAGCAAGATTCCATTTCATGGACACATCTAAGTTCAGCTATTCCCCTATTGATAGACATCACATTGCTGTTAGAAACCTTAGTTACTACATCTGTAATGTGGGAGTTTGGATTGATTTAAGTGTCTTTTAGCCTACTCAGTGCTCCAGGATTCCTCATGCTCTGTTTTTCTGTGTAGCTGTGACCAAAACACCTGGGAGAACCAACTTAAAAGAGAAAAGATGCATTTTGGTTCATGGTTTCAGAGAGTTGAGTCCATGGTTGCCTAGGCAGAGCCTCATGGCAGCAGGATCATGTGGCAAAGAAGCCTCTTCACTTTATGGTGGATAGGCAGCAAGAGGAGGGGAGAGGGAACTTGGACTAGTCATAACCTTCAAAAGCATGCCCCCAGTGGCCTTCCTCCCACTGGACACCACCTTCAAATTTTCCACCATCTCCCAAAATGCAGCCTTTGTAAGCCACATTAACGGCAGTCATTCCTACACCAGAATGCCCCTATCTGTGGACCCAGTGTTCAACTTGAACCTGTAGGAGGCATTTCACAGTTAAACCTAACCGGCATGTTAAGATACCGCTGCTAAGAATATGAGTTTGCTGAAAAAACACAGCTCAGAACTCCTGTCAGACTTAACCCAGACAGCTCTACTTTTGTCTCTTTCATGGTTTTGTTAGGATTAAGATTGTATAAAATTTCATTTTTCCAGTTTCACAGTAAAAAAGTTGAAGTTTGAAGCTCATAGAATTACATGACATCTTTGGTTTCATCATCTCTAAATAATTTCTGATTCTTTCCAATATTCTAAGATACAAAGATTTTATCACCAGTAGTTCTAAATAATAATTGTAAATCCCAGTTTTTATTCTTTTAACTTAGTGATTTGCAAATGCCTACTGATTTTTAAAAGACCAGATAAAGTTTTGAGTAAAAGGAATAAGAACTGAAGAGATGCCTTAGTCGGTGAAGTACTTGCCATGTATGCGTGGAGACCTGAGTTCACACCCAGCATCCAAGTAAAAGTTGCGTGGAGCCAAGTCAGTAAGCTCCTGAGTAAGAGACTCTACCACAAAATAAGATCAAGAACAATTGATAAAGATACCCAGCCTAGTCCTGGCCTGCACACATAGACACACACACACACACACACACACACACAGGAATATAGAATATATGCTTGTGGGGAGAAACATAATACAGAAACTTGCAAAGCCAAAAGAGGCAGCTCCACACTGAAAAATTTTATAAATCTTCTTTGACACCTGCTTCCATGTACAAGTGAACATATTCTTACATAGGTGGTTTTGATTATTAATCTTTAATATTAGTTTTGTTTAGAAATCTCTGTACCTATACTACAAAAGAATTTTATGTATTCCATGTTTTTGTGTCTTATGTTTGTCTCTTCTGGAATCTATTTTACCGTATGATTCAAGGTTGTTTTAAGTAGCCATCAGGTTACCCTCAGTTTGTTTTGTGTTGTTGTTGGTTTTTGTTGTTTTGTTTTGTTTTTTTTTGTCTTTTTGAGACAGGGTTTCCCATAGCTCTAGCTAGCCTGGAACTCAGAAATCCATCTGCCTCCCAAGTGTTGGTATTAAAGGCCTGCGCCATTATGCCCAGCAGTATTTTTAAATTCTCTATAGTAAGTAAGTTCTTACATGTGTCCATATTTGTTTTAGACACTCTGTCACACTGATGCATTTATTTCCGCATCTTAACAGTTGAAATCACTGCACCGGAACTCAGCACAAATATACATTATTTCTAGATGTCCTTCTACTCATTCCTTCAGGCCTACTTTGACTATTCGTAGTCATATGTATTACAGTTCTTCAGAAAAACAACCCGTGGTACCTGTGGGTGGGTGGATGGATGGAAAGATTGCTCTTAAGTTAGTTCATGTGGTTGTTGGGAATCAGCAAATCTGAAATTTTTCAGGCAGATCAGCAGGCTGTATGTAAATCCATGTAAAAGTTAATAGAGACCGGAGTTTAGATTCCAAAAAGCAGCAGACTAGATACTCAGGCAGGTTTCTTTGTTGCAGTCTTGAGAGTTCTTATAGAAACCCCAGTCTTGTTGGGAAGACATTCATATTATTGGCCAAGACCAACTTGTTAGAATGGGTAATCTGCTTTACTTGAAATCTGCTTATTTAAATGAAAATCTTATCTAAAAGCTTTTACCTTCGTGGTAACATGGATTCGAGTTTGATGTTCTAGCTGGTCACTTTTAGCTCTCCAAGTTGACAGGTAAAATTAACCATCCGTCACAGCATCCTTCTGCAGGTGAGCTTTAGCATCGGCATTCCTTGGGCTTTTGAAGTTAGTTTTGAAAGTACTGAGAGCTTCTCCTTCAGAAACTCCTTTGACTGGAACATTTAAAATTTTTCTTTATGCAGCTCTTACATGCTTCTCGTCTTCATTTGTCCTTGTATGCGTGGTCATTTTTAATGTTTCATAGCACTTCATGTGATTAACAGTGCCAGAGAGAAGCAGCATTGGTTTTTACATTTCCTTGTAAAAGACCACAGCATTGAGTGCTTAGTTTTCTAGTTGGTTGTCTTAGATTTTTCTCAGGAGTTCTAAATTTAACCTTTTCAGCATCCATGCCTGTTAACTTTTTCTTTTCATATTATACCAATGGCTAAGACTTTGAGAAAAATAGTGAGTAGAAACCATGATAGTGGGTATCCTTATCTTGTTGTTCATTAAATTATGATTTAAGTAATAATTGCTTTAGTGTTTTATGTTTGTTAGTTGTATCCGGTTTACATGAAGAAACTCTGGGGCCAAGTGTGGTATAGCACACCTTTCATCCCAACACCTCAGGAGATTGAGGCTAGCCTGGACTATATAGCAAGTTCCAGGTCAGCTGGAGCTACAGGGAGACCCTATTTCCAGAAAAAGAAAAAGAAATTGTATGCACGTGTGCTGACTGTGAGTGTATGTGTGTTCTATGCTTTTTCATGTGGCTAACGCCTATTTTAATTGACATTAAAAGTGCTTTTAGCTATTTCTGCTCTAACTTCTTTATAGATCTTCCATTTCTTCCAAAGCACTGAAAATGTATTTTTTGGGTTTATAGATTTTATAAATGCTTCGTGTCCATTTCTAGAGTAATATATATAGATCTTTTTTTAAATATGTTTATTTAATGTGTATATTTCTAGAGTAATATATGTAGATCTTTTTTTAATATATTAATGTGTATGAGTGTATTGCCTGAATATGTGTAGGTGCACCCTTGTTGTGCAGTGCCCATGGAGTTCAGTTGAGGGTGTCGGATCCCTTGGAACTGGAGTTAAAATGGTTGTTAGCTGCCATGTGGGTGCTGGGAATTGAATCAGGGTCCTCTGCAAGAACAGCCAGTGCTCTTAACCGCTGAGCCATCTCTCCAGATTTTTTTGGTGTCATAAAACAAGTTTATGTATGCAAAGCCACAAAGTACTTACGTTCAGAAGATATTAATTGCTCATTTATTTAAAAATTGCAAGTATGCTTTATTTCTAAATACTTTATTTACTCTTAGTTTAGGTCTATACAGTGTACAACCTAAGGAAAGACCTTTCTTCCTGTCATAGAACTCTGTTCTAAAGTAACACCAGAGTTTTTTGACAGAACTATCACAGAACAGCTTAGCTTGGGAATGAGGTTGAAATCCATGAACAGCCTGGAAGATAAGTTTGCTAATTGGAAGCTAGACACAGGCTTTGAAGTTAAAAAAGACCAGTGTCCACATCATGATTCTGCCATTTTCTGGCTGTATTGTTTTAGTTACTTATCATCTGAACCTTAGTTTCCTTGTCTATGAAAAATAAAATTAGATCTATATTTCAGGTTTCCTACAAATATGAAATATCTATAAGCTCTCCTTAAAAACACAGGAAGTATTCAGAAGGTCACTTTCCCCTTTTATTATTTTAAATTTTAAAAATTTTATGTGTGTGAATGTTTTTCCTACATGTATGTAAGTGTACTCGTGCTTGCAATGCAGAAGTCCAGAAGAAGGTATCTTATAGTCTTGAACTGGAGTTACAGACAGTTGTTAGCTACCATGTGGGTGCTGGGCAACAAACCTAGGTCAGCCATGTCTCTGACCCTGAGTAAGGTAGTGTTTGTGCATTGTATAGCTTCCTGAAAGTGTACGCCCATTTCCATGCACACAAAGCTCCATGCATTTTTAGTCTGAGCAGATAAGTATTTTTAGAAAATTATTTGTGTGTCTGGTCCAAGATCTAAGACATTGGGAAAAGAAATTGTGTACACAGCACCATAGAGATACAGCTGATGTCAAAAGTGCTATTTTTGTAGTCCTTCTTCAGTCACTCAGTCTGTATTTTAAAATGAAACATTGATATACGTATTACAGAAGCTGCTTGATAGATTTGATTATGATGATGAGCCAGAAGCTGTGGAAGACTCAAAAACAGAGGACGCTGTTGCCATCAGCACTGCAGCTCCTGCTGCTGCTGCACCTCCTGTACCCGCTTTGGCCACATCTGCTGCTGCTCCTGCTGTGCCAGTGCCTACTGCCTCCTCTCCTCCTCCACAGGCAGCCTTGTGAGTTTCTTCTTAGTACTCTGACAGATAATTAGTAGCAGTTACAATGTATAGTCTAAGCAACAATTATGAATAAAAGCACTTAAGTGGAGTAATTATTTTGTGAAGTTTTTTGGTTTATCTTGTCTCTTTTGTAGCCCCAGCTGGCCTGGAACTTGATGTGTAGAATAAGCTGGCCTTGAGCTCACGGAGATCCACCTGCCTCTCCCTCCTAAGTGCTGGGTTTAAAGGTGTGCACCGCCATGCCCGGCCCATAAAGTTTTTTTATTAAGAGTATTCACCTTAATAGAAATGGTATTTTTTTTTTAATAGCTTTTATGTGGGAAATAATGCTTAGTACATAGAGAAATAACGTTAGTGCTTTTGGATGAGTAAGAAGAGTACTTTCCTTTTTTAGTGGGTTTCCGGGAGATGGCTTGCAGCAGCCAGCATACCCACAGCATCAAAATATGGATCAATTTCAACCTCGAATGATGGGAATCCAGCAAGATCCAGTACATCATCAGGTATAGGAATCTTTGTTACCTTAGGTAATGGTTTGCACTTGAGAACAGTTTTACTCATTGTGATGTGCCAAGTAGAATTGTAGTTCCATGAAAACTGCTGAATATAAGATGATTTGAGTTGCTTTTTATTTTGCAACAAGCTTATAAACAGAACACACTAATAATTACGGGCATTTGAGTTAAATAGTACAGCAATGCTATAGTTTCATTTAAAGAAATTCACGTATTTAATTACACAGCCATTTCCCTTACTGGGAGTCTCTGTTTCCTGTATGTTGTAATGACTGGCCACTCTAGAGGGCTTCAGTTCTCAGTATTCAGTAATGTAATTTGAAATATGCAACAGAAGCATCTGTAGCACACTGGAAAGTTATAGGAGACTAGAGATTGGTTTGTTGGATTTGTTTTGGTAAACACTTTCTTTTTTAATATTTTATTATTTTTACTATATGTATATGAAGGTACTGCCTGCCTGTGTATAAGTGCACTCCTGTTGTTCAGTGCTCTCAGAGGTCAGAACAGGGCATTGGATTCTCTTGGAACTGGAGTTACAAAGATGGCTGTTACTGTCATATGGGTGCTGGGATGGAACCTCGGTCCTCAGCAGAGCAGCCAGTACTCTTAACCACTGAGCCATCTTTATAGCCTCACACTTTCAATTTCTTAAAGTTTGTCATAAATCTGAATTACAGGGTCACAGGCAGGAGGGCATTTTAATGATGTAGAGTTTGGCCCCACTAGCTTCTAGCGAATTTCTGGCTTTTTGTTTGTTTGCCTGAATTCTACAATGATTCTGTTATATAGCCACCTTGGGAAATACTGCTTCATAGCCTGTTGAAAAAAGGTTCTGAAGGGGTTGGGAATTTACCTCGGTGGTAGAGTGCTTGCTTGAGGCCCTGGGTTTAGTCCTCAGCTCCAGGAGGAGAAAGGGCAAAATTAAAAAGTCCTAGGATATCTTTTTAGACTATACTCATTTTCTTGTCTAAATTGTTTCTAGTTCATTCTTTATATTAATGTCATATGTGATTGATACTGAATTTTAATGACTCATTGATGAAATTTAGAAAGTACTTTATTAGCTTGTTTTAAATACAAAGAAAATCCAGGAACATATTTTGTGTTTACTATATGCATATTTCTAATAACCTCTGAAAGCTTATAAATAATTCAGGAAGATATTCTGTGACATAATTTGTTGTATTGGTATGTGGCTTGCATATGCAGAAATGTCACGTTGTACTTTATGAAACCTCATTATCATGAATTTTTTTTAACTCTAAAAGTTTTAAATCTCCCTCCTTTGGTAAATTAACACACACACATACACGCGCGCGCACACACACACACACACACACACACACACACCCCACCCCACCCCCAATCTCCCTCCTTTGGTAAATTAAAACACACATACCCTACCCCTAGCTGGGCATGATGGTACACACTTATCATCCGAGCACTTGAGGGACTAAGACAGAATGATAATGAACCCCAGGCCAGCCTGGGCTACACTGCAAGACCATGGGCTTTTTTGTTTTTTTCAATTTTAGTTGTGTTTGGTTTTGGGCTGGTTGGTTGTTTGGTTGGTTGTTCTTAAGATAAAGTCTTGCTGCGTGTAGACCAGCCTGGTCCTAAATTTGGGGCAATCCTCCTGACTCTCCTTCCCTAGTGTTAGGATTACAGATGTCTACCATCATGCCCAACAAATAAGATTTTTAAAAATCTTGGGGCCAGGCGTGGTGGCGCACGCCTTTAATCCCAGCACTCGAGAGGCAGAGGCAGGTGGATCTTTGTGAGTTCAAGGCCAGCCTGGTCTACGTAGTGAGTTCCAGGCCAGCTGGGGCTACAGGGAGACCCTTTTTCAAAAAAACCAAAAAAAAAAAAAAAAAACTAGAGAGCACTTCTTGTAGCCACTTTTCCTCTGAAAAGCTTTATTACTGTTAAAAGTTGAAGACCATTTGCAAGAGAGTACTTGTGGCTAAGGTTAACCTGTCACATTGTGTCTTCATGTAAATAAAACTGTATCCTTTTTTGGGGGGGGGATCTTTTTGAGGCAGGGTCTCCTGTGGCCCCAGATGACCTGGAACTCATGTAGATCAGCCTGGCCTGGACTTCCCAGAGACCTCTGCCTCCCAAGTCCTAGGATTAAAGGTGTATGCCACCACGCCTGGCTATAAAACTGTCTTTTAAGTCAGTGTGTTCAGAATTTTGAATGAGTTATAGAACTTGTCATTTTATAGTACTTTAATATATAACAATACTTTAAAGAAACATCATACATTAAAAATTATGTAGCTTTTCTTCATTAAAAGTTTTTGAAACTATCCTAGTTTTATATAAAATAACCTTCCAAAATTATTTTTGGTTGCTCTTAAACTAAACTTACATACTTTCTTTTAAAATGAAAGGTTCCACTTCCTCCTAATGGACAGATGCCAGGATATGGACTTCTCCCTGCGCCTCCCTTTCCTCCTATGGCTCAGCCTGTGATGGCTCAGCCTGTAATTCCTCCAACTCCACCAGGGCAGCAGACTTTCCAACCCACTTTTCAGCCACAAAATGAGCCACTTGCACAAAAGCCACATCAGCAGGTAATATTTTCTTCTTGGGTAAATGGTCTTTTTGGTTGCCTTGATTTATGTGCACATTCCTGTTTTGTGTTTTCATTTTGATGAAACCCCTTGGGATACATTAGCCCCTCATTACTCTGTACTCCCAAGATTTTCACTGAAAGCTCCAGATAATGATGCTGCCAGCTTTCGCAGAACTCCTTGAGGATTGAGATAAATTGTAGAGGCCCCACCATGCCTAGGTTTTGTTAAAATGGTATGGAACTTGGGAATGTAACTTCCAGAAGTAGAGGCTTTTCCCTTATAAACCATATAAAAGTTTCCTTTTTTGTTTATCTTCGGTGGTGGTCAGTCATTATTTGGTCCCCAGGTAACTAAAAAGCTAATATTTATTAATTTTGGCTTCTTGCCTTTATAATTTTCAAATTTCTTATTTTATAATTTTTTTCTTTTTTTTTAAGGAAATGGAAGTAGAACAGCCTTGTATTCCGGAGGTTAAGCGGCATATGTCTGAGAACAGAAAGTCAAGATCTAGGTCAGCATCCAGGTAATTTATAGGAAAGATTTTCTAGCCCCGTATGTCTTAAGAGACATGGAGGCCAAAGTCAAATTAAATTGTTTACTGATGTTCACAGTATTAATAAAATAACACTTGGTTTGTAGGGAGAAGGCAGCAAAAGACATATCTAATTTTTAAATTGGGGCTGAGGGGGCTGGAGAGATGGCTCAGCAGTTAAGAGCACTAACTGCTCTTGCAGAGGACCCGGGTTTGATTCCCAGCACCCTCATGGTGGCTACAAACTGTCCTTAACTCCAGTTCCAGGGGAATCCGAAGCCCTCTTCTGACCTCCGCAGCATTGCACGACAGGGTACATTCACATTCATGGCAGGCAGTACACTTATACACATAAAATAATAAATAAAAAATATTTTTTTAATTGGGGCTGAAGATAGCTTAGTGGTTAAGAGCACTTGCTGCTCTTTGCTGACCTGGATTCAGTTTCTAGCACCTACATGGCAACTCAACAACCATCTGTTAACTCAAGGTCTAAGGGTTGATTCCCTCTCTTGGCCTCCCCAAGTTTTGCATGTACATGGTACACATACAGATGTGCAGACAAATATTCATACGCATAAAATAATACTTTAAAAACATCTAGTCTGGGGTTGTAGCTCAGTTTGTAGAGTGCTTGCCTAGCATAGGTGAAGCTCTAAGTTCAGTCCTTAGCACCATATGGATAAACCAGGTGTGGTAATGCACACCTATAATCCCAGCACTTGGGAGGTTTGAGGCAGAAGGATCTGAAGTTTGAGGCCAACTTGGGGGCACATGAGCCCCCATTTCAAAAAAAAGCGAAAAAAATTTAAAAGCCAAGTTCATCTTACCCACTTTGGTTTGATTTGATACAGTGCATATGTGTGTATGATATTACAGGAGCTGCCATGTTAAGTGTCACCAACAAAAGTGGAGCAGTCATAGTAATGCCACAATTGAACATTTTTAATTGCTGCAGAAAAAAACCTTCTCAGAAGAAAGACCTCAGTGTTTTCAGCCATAAAAGTTAGCTTCTTAACACTTAAGAGGGGATTGTGGACAGAGCCTGAGGTGCTAAAAATGAGTAAAGTGCCATTAATAGCAGTATACCTTGATTATTTCATCTAAATCATAGCCATTCCAGTTGCCTGTTTGTATTCTTTTTCAATTTAATATATGTGTGCTTTCTATTTTTTCCTCTGTGTGCTATCCATTTTCCTTCCTAATGAAAATTTACTAGGTCACCAAAGAGGAGACGATCTAGATCGGGCTCTAGATCTCGAAGATCCCGTCACCGACGATCTCGATCTCGGTCCAGGGATAGACGCCGACACTCACCTAGGTCTCGATCTCAAGAAAGACGAGATCGAGAAAAGGAGAGGGAACGTCGACAAAAGGGTCTTCCTCAAATCAAATCGGAAACTGCCAGTGGTAAATCATCTTTATACCCTTCCCTGCTGGCACCCATCCAGAGCCCCCCCTGCAAATCCATACATTCTGTTATTTGTAGTAAGGCCTACTACTGTGTCAAGTTAGTGTCCCCAGACATCCCTCACTGCAAGTTCATCTACCGAGATCTAGTCAGCCTATGTAAAGTCTCTCACTTTAAGAAGACCAGCTCTTCCTCATCCAGTTGAGTTTTATTCTAAATAGTGCTTGCTTGTGTCTTATTTTAATGTGCACTAAAAAATTAGAATAAATACTTCCCAATTTTATAAATAATTAGCCATTATAGAATGTATTAACTTGCATCATCTCCTGAATCTCATCATTTTCTGAACATGCATAGCAGACATGTTCTTGGTGTAAATCACTATTAGGATTTAATTTGTAATAGTGACCAGTACATACTTAAGCTTTCTAACTCTGTATGAGGCTCATACCTAGCGTATACCATAAAGGAAAACTAGATAAGTCAAGTTAGAGAAGGCAGCTGCATGAATGTAGCCAGGAAAGAACTGAACTGCTTGGTCATGAAGAGACTTAGGCCAAAGTCCTTGTTCCAATGTTCACCAACCAGTGACCAAGGCCAAGTTACTGCTTCTAGGACCCAAGTTTTTGTAGCTGTCTTTAGGTCTAACCACAGAGGAGACTTATTTTTTTTCCAGTTCTTGTGCATACCTTTACCCTGGTTTCATTCCTTCTAAATTTTTAAAGTTTATATTTGGCATCAAAATTCTATTTTTAATGTATAGCATAGCTACTTATGATGAAGTATGAATATTTTTATGATTATACTTTTATCTTAAGTTTGTAGTACCACACTCTGGGTGGGACAGCTGGACAAAAGGACTACTCAGCAGGATGTTGCCAGTCTCTTGGAAGAGTTTGGTCCAATTGAATCAATTAATGTGAGTGCTTGTTCACTTTAATGGCAGTAGACAAGATGTGATCAGTGTCATTTTGTGAAATTGAGACAAACTTGAGCTTTGGGGTTGAATATGCACAGGATTGTTGAAGGTATGACTGTAAGTTCAGGTGTTCCTAGTTCATGTTAATCTCTGCATTAGCTGTTTTCTTGGAGAGCCACATTTCAGTTAAAATATCTTCCTAGAAGTCTTTAACATAATTTGTATGACTTAATCAAGACCAAACTTGAACTGCCAACTTAATGAGTTTAACTTTAGATGTTTTTGTGTGCCTTTTGGTGGTGGTATTTGGGATTGAATTTAAACCTCATGCATGCTAGGCAAGCACTCCACTACTTAACCTTGGATTATAAATCACTGATAGAGGGAATGGACTGGTTACTTCATGCTATGTCTTTTTCTTTCGTTTTGTCATTGCCTTTTGTAATACTGAAATTTTTTGGGCAGATGATTCCTCCAAGAGGCTGTGCTTATATCGTTATGGTTCATAGGCAAGATGCATATCGTGCCCTGCAGAAACTGAGTCGGGGAAACTATAAAGTGAACCAGAAATCCATAAAGGTACACTTTTGTTTTTTGGTTTTGGTTTTTGGTTGTTTGTTTTTTAACAAAGTGCTAGGAGTTTAACTCGGGCCCTTATTATATAGGTTGGCTGGCTGGCTGGCTGGCTGGCTGGCTGGCTGGCTGGCTGGTTGGTTGGTTGGTTGGTTGGTTTTTGAGACAGGGTCTCACGTAGGCCAAGCTGGCCTTGAATTCCTGCTTTTATCTCCCAAGTGCTGGAATTTTAATCATGCAATACTGTGTCTAGCTTTAATTGGTGCTTTAAAAATGTCGCCTAATAAGATATTTTCTTATTGAAAAAAAGTAGATATTCTACAGTTTAAGGTTTGCCATTTTAGAATTAACTATGAAATAATCAATAGAGGCAGAAAAATCTTAGGTGCATGGACATCCTCTGAGGAACCCAGGTCACCATTGCCCATTGGTAGCACCTTATTCTCCTGGTTTATACTGCAGGAAGATTTTATCATGTCTATATACTTTCCTCTTTTAAAAATTCTTTATTTTATTTTTTATTGAGCCAGTGTCTTCCTGTAGGCCCAGCTGGCCTAGAACTCGCTATGTAGACCACACTGGCCTCAATCTCACAGAGATCCCAGCGTTGGGATTAAAGGAGTGTACTCCCACGCCCAGGTTCTATAGTCATTCAGAAGCGGTACCCAGTGTATTATGTTTGGCTATGTAGGGAACTTCAGCTTCTTGATGAACGTGTTCCCTTTCTCTAAGGTTTATTGTGGCTGTGCTGAGTGAGTGAAGGAAATACTCATCCTGGAACAAAAGTAGGAATACTGAGTAACTGATTCCATAGTGAGAGTAAAGTATTCAGTAAGGCCCAGAGCCAGCTAGTGCTAATTGCTTCCTGGCTGCCCAAGTCCAGATGAGGAGAATGATGGGGACCAGTGAGCTCTGATTTGTGACCTCTTCCTTTTTCTCTTTTTGTATTTTCACTATATTTCCAATTGTGGAATAGATTGCCTGGGCCTTAAACAAAGGAATAAAGGCAGATTATAAACAGTATTGGGATGTAGAGCTTGGTGTTACTTATATTCCGTGGGACAAAGTCAAACCTGAAGAACTGGAAAGTTTTTGTGAAGGAGGAATGTTGGACAGTGACACACTTAACCCAGGTAAAGCAGTGTTTCTTTAACAGTTTGTTTACTTCACAGTCATGTGACAAATCAAATGTAGGTTTTATTCTTTTACACTAGGAAGAACTATTAGGGGGCCTTTTAAAGTCCTCATGAACCAGTCTCCACTGTAAATTGAAGATACAATAGCCAATAAGACAGAACATGGTCTTTATCTGTGTAACATGTGAAATGCAAACACTGGTGAAGTAATTGCTGATTGTGGGATTCATCATTACTTACAGAGTCAAATAGATCTTAAGGAGAATTTTTCACTGAAAACAGACGAAGTAGGTCTTTAGCTGAGCATTATTGGTATACTTTGAACATCACCAATTCTTAAATCTGAAATGTTCCAAAATCCAAAACTTTTTCAGCACCAGAGTGTTTCAGTGTTTGTGGGGTTTTTGTTTGTTTTGTTTCTAATGAGGGATGTTCTACCAATGAACTATATGTGAGTATTCAAAAATCTTAGGCACTTTGGTCCTGAATACTTTGGGAGTGATACTCAAACCTGTTATGTTTCAATGTAGTGCTTCAAAATAATTTCTTCAGAAAAAATTAAGCATCCAGGAAATCTGCACACAAATAAATGTATGGAACCAAGAAGTACATTTGTTTATGGGTATGAATATTACAAGGACCAGGTTAGTGGGTGAGACTGCAGTGTTCCAGAATATGTGGACTTGGCCCTGAGAGCTGCTGGAACATAGGAGGAGCATAGGATAGCCTGGATAAAGTAGAGTGAGCATTTCAAGGGGTGTTTGAGAACAAGTGATGGTTTGACAGCCAGAAGGGTGGGAAAATGATGTGGAACTAGCCAGATTCCCCATGTCCTTGGGTAATGCATAATGCCTTCACTGAAAAGAGAGAGCTGCATTTCTCTTCTGGCAAATGAGCCTCCATGTGCAGGTATCTGAGAAGCTCTTGGCTAGGCAAAAAAGTTAAATAAGACAGTGGACTCCTGGAGGTCATGATCCAATGGAGGATTTATTTATGAGACAGAATGTAGGAGAGTCACTAATGAGGTTAAGCACCCCATTACTGAGTGGGAAAATACTTTCTGATTTTCATTTGACCAGAAGGTAAGTAAAAATAGGTAAAAGGATGCCTAATTTATTTTTTTAGTGTTAGGGAGTCTGCAATAGACTGTAGAACTAGGCATTTCTGGTTGGATCCATCCTTCTGCTAACTAGGAATGTGATTTTGATATGTTGTCTTCACTTTATAAAAGGCGAATGAATAATAGTATCTGCCTACAGATGGTCATGTGTAAAGTGCTTAATAGTAAGTAGCCTTACATGTTTTCCATGGTTATTCATTTAATTACTATTTATAAAATGTGCACAGGGGTTTCTTTACTGAGGCTTATATCAGCATTTTTCGTTTCCATATTTAGTTATAAGTGAAAATAATAAACATTTACTACATTTTTTCAATTCATAGATTGGAAAGGAATCCCTAAGAAGCCAGAAAACGAAGTTGCTCAAAATGGAGGTGCAGAAACCTCCCACACAGAACCAGTGTCACCCATACCTAAACCTTTGCCCGTGCCTGTCCCTCCTATTCCTGTTCCTGCACCTATAACAGTGCCACCTCCACAGGTGAGAATATTTAGGGCACCAGTTAAACTTTGGTGGGTCTGAAAGATCCCTTTCTAATCTTTACTATTGTATCCGGAGTATGACACATAAATGTCCAGAGTAGTTTATCACATCTATTTGTAGAATTTTTGTAACTATTAATAAAGTCAGAGTAAGTTTATATAGTTTCACATAAGTATAGATTATTCAGTTCCATACCATATAGTATCCTAGATGTGAAATCTGAACCTGACAGAATTTGTGTGTTCTTTTCTTTATTGTTGGGCCTTTTTTCTTCAGGCACTTTATTATGAACTTGAATATGTACCCAACCTCTAGCTGCTTTCAAGGGAAGGGAATTTCTTACTTTTGTTACAGTGTTTTGTTTTGTTTTTTTAAAGACAAAGTCTTGCCATGTAGCCCAGGCTGCCCTCAATCTTGTATTCTTGTGTCTCAGCTTCCCAAGTGCTGGGATTATAGGTATGATACCTAGCCATGAAAAGTCTTTAGTCTCTACTCATCCAACCTCCTTTCTTTGTTCTTAGTAGTAACTCTTAAACTCAGTTTCCAATCTGTAAATGTGCAGATGTCCTTTCCTATCCTTGGCTCTGGTGTGCTCTGCTATGTGAGAACTGCTTGGGAATTAGAGGAGTTAATGTGTGTCCAATATTTGTTAGGTTTCTTGACCAATAAAAAAGGAGCTGAGTAATTGTGGAGAGCATGTTTTGGTAAAAATTGTAGATGTTTACCTCATAGTTATGTGTGTGAGCTATAGGATTTTTCTTGTCATTCAGTATCTTATTTCCTCAAATTTTCACATTTAATCTGAATCAGGTCAGCCTGAGCTAGAACAAACGTAGATTGTTTAGCCACATTGATTTTTCTCAATGTAAGGGAGAAATTTTATGCTTAAGTGATTGCTTTAAGATATGGAGTCCCCAACTTCTTTTTTTTGCCCGGTGGGGGGCGGGGCTTTTCAAGTCTTCCTGTAGCCCCAGCTGGCCTGGAACTCACTATGCTCACTATGTAGTCCAGGCTGGCCTTGAACTCAGTAGAGTTCACCTGTCTCTGCCTGGGATTAAAGGCATGTGCCACCATGCCTGGCTGGATTCCCCAACTTTTTTGTTGACTTTTAGGGTACTCGTTCCAGTGCAAGTTCTAAACAAAATCAGATACAGTCAGTCTCTCTCTCTCTCTCTCTCTCTCTCTCTCTCTCTCTCTCTCTCTCTCTCTCTCTCATTTAAAGAAATCTGACTAATCTGTTAAAATTAGAGGGTTTTTCTTATTTTTTTGAGAAAATGTCTCAAATAGCCCAAGCTCTCCTTGAACTCACAGAGCTCCACCTCCTTCTGCTTCTTGAGTCCTAGAATTAAAGGCCTGTACCACCATACCTGGCCTCAGCCTTGAAATATTTTTAAACATATCATAGACTATCAGAACTCCAGTGGATGCCAGTGAAACGCAGTGTGAACACATTACAGTCTTAAAGGAGAGAGCGGAACTTAGATTCATGTGGTTTGGGGTAGGTTAATAAGTCTATCACCATCTTTTCGTCTGATGAATTAACTGCTATAACGGAAGAATCGAGAAGTACCTGCTTTTCTTTCCTCTGCCACACTCAATGTTGGAGGGCAGCTAGAGACATATTTTGTTTACTTTCCAGGTCCCACCACATCAGCCAGGTCCTCCTGTAGTGGGTGCCCTCCAGCCACCTGCTTTCACGCCTCCTTTAGGAATCCCCCCTCCAGGCTTTGGTCCTGGAGTTCCTCCTCCTCCACCTCCACCACCGTTTTTGCGCCCAGGATTCAACCCGATGCATTTACCTCCAGGTATACTAAATTGATTGAGATGTTCTTAGAGACAGAAGTAAAATGATTCGAAGTTTACATTACTTTTCTTATTCCAGGTTTCCTTCCTCCTGGACCCCCACCTCCTATAACTCCACCAGTTTCCATTCCTCCTCCTCACACTCCACCAATAAGCATCCCAAACTGTAAGCATGTCTTTCCTTCATGTTGACTTGATCTCTTGGAGCTGGGGTAGGAGGGAAAGTGAACCATATAGAAGGTCTATAGTTTGGTAGAAGAATGTTGACCAGGAAGAGAATTAATTATTCAGCTTCACATGTTGATGTAATTATATTCCTTAGCTACTATCGCTGGTATAAATGAAGACACTACAAAAGACTTATCTATTGGAAATCCCATTCCAACAGTGGTGTCTGGGGCTAGAGGAAATGCCGAGTCTGGTGACAGTGCGAAAATGTATGGCTCTGCTGTGCCACCTGCTGCACCCACGAATCTGCCCACCCCTCCTGTAACCCAGCCTGTTTCACTTCTTGGTAAGTTAATTTTTTTATTAGTTTTTTCCCCCACTCAAGTTTGGCTTTTTAAAAATAGCATGAATTTTGGCAACATAACCGCCAAGGTGACTTTCCTTTGAGGAAGATCTTAAGTCAGATTTGTGCAGTTGGTCTCTACCAGGAGACAGCTTCATAGGTGAAGTTACGCCTGTTTGTCTGAAATAAAACTTTTCAATCTGCACATGTCAATTTGGTATTAAAAATGTAACTACAGCAATTTCTAAGCAAAGGAATTGACACAGAGTCCCTGATTAACCAGCGCAGCAGGCTTTTCCAGGGCTAGAAGCACGGTTTCTCTGACATGCTGTCCTGACTGAATTTTAGTTGTCTGAAACTGCTGGACTTTGGAAGCGTTTTTTTTATAGACTGGCAAATTCATCTTTGACACAGTATAACAAAATGGCTTTGCTTTCTGAGTGACAGTTGTGCAGCTGAGGACCTTTCCTCGCTGGCTCCTCAGCTCTCTGCTGCTGGAGTTACTCTTCCCACAACCTCACCACTGCGATCAAGGGAGGAGCAACTCAGATGCTTTACAGTCACCTTCAAGAGGGCTCACCCTGGCTTGCTTCAATTATAGATCAGTGTCTCACATAGTTGTCATAGTAGACTGACCTTTTAAGTTAAAACCATAGTACTTGAAGCGGTATCACCAAGTACAATTAACACCTGATTCTCTTAATGAGAAGTTAATACTTCTGAGTATGTGTCCATTTTAATTTTCAGAAGTATATGTGTATGCACATTTGCTTTCATACTCTCAGATTGCTTTAGGGAAAAATCCAGTAGTGACCTGAGATGCCAGGCTGTGGGGACATTGGTATGGGATAGAGGACTCCGACTTGTCACCAAAACCTTTCTGTATTGTTGAAATTTTTTATTTTGTGCATATGTACCACACTGATAGTAAAAATATTTCTTTTAAAATGACTATTCTAGACTGGGTATAGTGGTGCATGACTTTAGCCTAGTACTTCTGGAGGCAGATCTCTGTGAGACTGAGGCCAGCCCTGTCTCACACTGAGCCCAGCCAGTGCTTTTACCTGTCTCAAAAAGACAAAAAATTAAAAATTAAGTAAAATAAAATGACTATTCTGCCCTTTTCAAGACTGGCACATTATAAATTTGATTTTTATTTTCTGTAGTACACAGATTAAGGAATGGTGAAAGATTAGTTGTGATTATCACAAGTAATTTAGCAGTAGCTACAATAAGGGGAAATGATTTGTTTAATGAAGGAGTTACTTAGAAGTCTAGGAACACCAGTGGACTGGGAACAGGGAACACTAACATTTCTGGATCTCACTTTGTTACGGCTTTTTTTTTTTTTTTCCTTCATATTTCTAAAATAGTGGCACAAGCATCTTAGACTCTAAACCCGAGGTGATTTTTCTAATCTACTACTTTGCTTCACATCCTCACTCCCCACGCACATCTGATTTTGAATTGAAATCTGCTTGCCTCGGGTCCGTGGTGGCTAGGCCCTCTGAAGCTGTTCACCCTGCTTTTCTTTGTACTTAGTAAATTCATTGAATGAATAGAAAGATCTCATGATCTCCAAGAGTTTGGTAGCCACTGCTTTTAAGCAGCCCTGTTTCAAATAAGTACCTGCCTCTATTTAGCATCAGATCGTGAAGACCCTGCCCTCTACTTACCACTGGTGAACAATTTAACCTTTGCAACCAGCATGAAACAAAGTAAAACAGGTCAAAAGTTGGTAAGCTTGAAAAGTGCATTTGGTAAGCTTGGTACTTTTTGAGGGATAAACTACATCTTCCTCCCGTCCTCATTACCTCACACATCTTGCTGGGTGTCCATCTTCCCCTCACATTATGGAAGTCCTGTAAGAGAGGGCCATTTGTCCCATGAGTGAAGGGAGAGGTAAATGAGTGGCTTTCTGTGCAGAACTCATGATGCTTCACTTTTATCTTTGTCTATAATTTTTAAAACAAAACTCGAAAATTTAATGTAATTTTAGATCCTGGAAGGTTTAAAATTTGACATAAGATAAAAATGGAAACTATTTTATTAAAATAAATACTTTTAACTAACATGGAATAGTTTAGTTCCAATTAACAAAAGGAAAGTCTTCTGTGTGCCTTCAGTCAGAAATCTGGGGAAGTGCTGGGCCTTGTGGCAAGTATTCCAAGGACTCGAAAGACTAAGGTCCAAGGATCAGTTGGAAGCCAGCATATGCATAGCAAGCCCCTGTCTCAAAAGAAAGAAATCTTGAAAAAGGAATATCACATAAGTCAGAAGTGAGTTTTGGGTTTTTTACTATTACAAACGTTTAATCAAAGTTTAATAAAAAAGTATTCTTGACCAGATTTTTATATTGTAGTAAATCAAGCCCTTTGGAGAGGTGACATGGGTCTCTCTGTTTAACTGCCATTAAACTCATTCCTAGGCTTCTGGCATGATCATACTGTTCATATCCCACCATTCCAGTATTGATCTCTTGACCAGCAGTCACCATCTCATAAGGTCATCTTTCACAAAGGGATCAGATCCCATCAATACTCCTTGGACATGTCTGTCACCATTAAATTTTGGGAACTGCTCACCTGCACAGTTTCCAATGGGAGAGAGGGGAGCCTTTTGCCTCCATATCTCTTGGACCCAGAGTTGTTACTTTTCAAAATGAGGATTTTTTTTTTAATGTGTTTGCAAATAAAAAAGGATTCATTTGAAAGAATCACAATTCCACCACAATCACAATTCTTGTATTTGATTGAGGAATACAAGAATCGCAGTACTAAAGGATCAGGAATCCGGTTGAGGTGTTCTTGGTGTTACCCACATGTAGGAGTACAGGGACTAAGATGCTTCAGTTTCCTCTTGGTGCTCCGATGTGTTAAGGCTGTGAAAGATGTTGACCAGGACACTTTAAGCCTACAGGCTAATACTGAAGCCCGTTTACAAATGACACTGGCACACCAGTGTCAGGATTCACTGAACTAGCATATATATAAAAGCCTGCCACGTAGCCAGCCACGGGGAGAGCGTTTAGTGAATAGTGGGTGCTGTTACAGGTAAGATATGCTATATACATACCTGGCACACCTGGAGAAGAATGTTTGTACTTGGCACTTCTAAACCTGTGCTATGTTAGCTGTGACTTGTTTTAAACTCTCCTGTTCTCAGATAGAAAGCAAGTATTTTAGGAACAAAATACATCTTTGTCATAGTTACCTCCTGCATTTTTAAGGTAGATTAGAGCAGATCATGAGTTCACAAGTATTAAAGTTACATTACTTGGCTTACTGAGAAAATGTGTGTTAAAACCTTGAAATATTTTGCTTAAACAACACAACTCCGTATCTAAACCCATTCTATAGATGATATCCAATAGTTCTCTTGTTATGGAAGGTACATGTATCACTGAGACCTAATTGAGTCCTTGAATCATAATTTCTGGTGTGCCAGTATTTTAGAAGTAGCAGGAACTAACCAAATATTAAGCAGATTTAAAATTTGTATTAAGGCCTAATTACAGTGGGAAAAGGCAGTGGAGTGCCTTTGCTATGAAGAATTTTCTAGACCATCAGACTTAAATTTGGATGTTAGTTTGGAGAAGATAACTAACTGCCTGTTTGTTGAGCTGGGCTGAGGTGGCCCCCACTAACTGAATTTGAACACTGATCATTTGAAAGTATTACTAGGTATACAGGCGATAATTCATTATTACTGAGTTTTAAGGAATACTGTACTTAGTACCTCATGGCCAAAGTAGTGAAAACAGCAGTGGCTTTATGAAAGTTAAAGATAACATTCCACAGTTGTCAGTCATCTGGGAGAGAAGGTGGTGGCAGTTAAGTCCATCTTTTGATTGTATAAGCATTTATGTTTGCTTTTCAAAAACTGTTGTATATGTATCTCTTAATATGATGTACAGCATATTTTTATTAAAAAGTTAATTGTAAATGTAAAGTTTGGGTTACTTTGGTGTTCCAAACAATAAAAAAATACACAAAAAAATGTTTGTTTGTGTTACCTATCTCTGCTGTCTTATAAGGATATCCAAAATATGTTGTCAGACAAATTCATCTAGGTTTTCTCTTGTGGGAAAGTGAAGCTTCTTGGCACGTACCTTACTTGTTAATTATGAATAGGAGGAGATTGTCGTTCTCCCCTGTTTTTGTCACACTACTGCAGATGTTTATAAATAAAAAGTTATTTCTAAGAACCATCTTACAGATGTAAGATTACTTTTCTTTACTGTAGTTTTGTTACAGGAGATTTAAAGCAAGAGTCACATGTTGATAATCTATTATACTGAGCTGCTGGACAGTGGGTCAGTACACCTCAGTCCCTGTGGAGTTGCAGTAGGATTGTGAGTTGATCTCAGTGCCTCAAAACATTTGGGGGACGGAATTGGCTTGTAAATTATTAGATTTAAGTGGATAGGTTTAATTGTATACTATAATTAAGAGCCCTAAAACTTGCCTAGAAGAGGAACAATTTTACCTGTGATTTTGGTAATACTTTCAGAATAAGTATTTGATTTTTTTAGCTTTGGACTTCTCTGCTCAGTCTCTGTCTAGAATTTTATCCTTTTTCTTCTAGCTTATAATTTTAAATACCATTTAAATCATAACGTTAGAGCTAGTTATGTACTAACTAGTCATTAATGTTAAACAATTACTAATATTGAAAGAAAACCTAAAGGAAATTATAGAAATTATAGTTTGGAAAAATGAGAATGCCTAATTTTTTAAAGCAATGCTTGCATTTTAATACTTTTATACTGAAGTTTAGTAGTGTACATTGAATTACAAGCTACAGGGTTATACAAGGAAGCCTCTTGATGACCATATAAGTGTTCTTGACAGCTTGAAAAGTACTTGCATTGGTACTCTAAATATTACAGTATGTGGTTCTAGTGTCACATAATAGAAATGACGCTGAAATATTCCTTAAAATGCCTTCAGCTTAATACTGCAGCATTGTTCAGTAGATGGAGTGGATAATGTAGAAACAGC